CATACCATAATGCTTAACTCCCATACTCAATGCACTGACCAATAAAGGCAAGTGTGCCAAATGCCTTCTTCACCGCCCCAACAACCTGCAACACCACCTTCAAGGAACTATGAAACAGCACCCCTATGTCTCTCTGGTCACCAACACTCCTCACGGCCCTACCATTAACTGTATATAAGTCCTGCCCTGGTTTGCCTTACCAAAATGCAATATCTCACATGTACTTAAATTGAACACCATCTGCCACTTCTCAGCCCATTGGAACATGTGATCAAGATCTCATTGAACTCTCAGATAACCTTCTTCAGTATTCCACCAATTTTGTTGTCATCCACAAATCTATTAACCATACTTTCTATATTCTCATCCAGATTGTTGATAGAAAGGATGAACAACAGTGGATCCAGCACCGATCCTGCGGCACACTGCTGGTCACAGGCCTCCGGTCTGAATAACAACCCTCTACTACCACCCTTTGTTTTCTACCATCAAACCAATTTTGTATCCAATCGGCTACCTCTCCATGGATCCCATGTGATCTAACCTTACTAACCAGTCTACCAAATGGGACTTTGTCGAAGGCCTTGCTAAAGTACATGTAGACATCTACTGTTCTGCCTTCATCTATCTTCTTGGTAACCTCTTCAAAAAGTGCAATTAAATTTGTGACACACGATTTCCCGTGTACAAAGCCAATGCTGGCTATCCCTAATCAGTCCTTACCTTTCCAAATGCGTGCATATTCTGGCTCTTAGAATCCCCTCCTACAACTTACCCACCACTGATGTCAGGCTCACCGGTCTGTAGCTCCCTGGATTTTCCTTGCAGCCTTTCTTAAACAATGGCACTACATTACCCACCGTCCAAACTTCCGGCTCCTCACTGTCAATGATACAAATTTCTCAGCAAGGAGCCCCGCAATCTCTTCCCTAGCTTCCCACAATCTTCTGGGATACACCTGATCAGATCCCAAGGATTTATCTAAATTATTCTTCTACTACCTTCTCAGGCAGCACATTCCCGATTCCATCCATTCACTGCATACAAAAATGTTTCTCCTTATTCCTTATTTCATTTTTGCTTATTTGCCATTAACTTTAAATTGGTGTTGTCTGGTTCTCAACCTTTTCCATCAATGAAAACTTTCTTCCCTTATGCACTCTGTCTGGACATCTCCGAATTCGAAATGCCTCCTCTATCAAATCTCCTCCCAATCTTCTCTTTTCTGAGGAGGATATCCCCAGCATTTCCAATCTATCCTTGTACCCAAAGTTCCTTACTCCTGAAACCAATCTTATTTAGCTTTTCCTAAACTGTTAACAGCATCTATTTATGAAGGCCATGAACCTGTATATCTTATTGACCCCTTTTCAAGCCTGTCCTTTCACCTTCAATGTAAACTTTTACGTTAGGCAAACCGGCTTCTAGGGAAACACAAGGTCATTTCTTTTCCCAAGCATTGTTTTTAAAGATATAATTTTTGACCCAGCACAGCAGGAATTATTTTCCTTTCAGTTATCTTTTGTGTCAAACTGATACGGTGAATAATTTACTTGTATTCGATTTGAGTTTCATGATCAAATTCTAGTCTTCTTTTTTTTGCAATGAACGTTCTTCCCAGTAACACTTAGGATCTGCTATTCTCTTCAGGGCTTCTTTCATGTTCAGATGACTCTAGTAAAGGGCTAGTAAGAACTGCCGATGCTGGAGTCAGAGTTAACACAGTGTAGAGCTGGAGGAACACAGCAGGCCAGGCAGCATCAGAGGAGCAGGAAAGTTAACGTTAAGAAGGGCCCTGACCCGCAACGTCAACGTTCTTGCTCCTCTGAAGCTGCCTGGTCTGCTGTGCTCCTCCAGCTCCACACTGTGTTACCTCTAATAAAGGGCTGCTGCTTTCTTTGCAGTTAGCAAAATGACAATCCAGGATTACACAGCAAGGGTGCCCTGTGCAGCTGGAGCACCTGATTCACTGAAAACGTTTCCTGAGGCTGAACAATAAAGTACATGAGCCACTATTCTAAGATCGAGGCCAGCACAGGGGTGAGATCAAACCCAGTGCAACGGAAATATTGAGTCCAGCGCGGGGAGACATCAAGCCCTCATGGGGAAAGCCCAACATGATGTGGCTGCAGGACCATGACTAAAGAAGGACAACAATTTGGAACTGTTGACTTTATTTCTTATTTACTGCTTTATACTGAGAAAACTGTAATGTTGAACTTTTAACTTATTTTTTTCTACTTTTTACCTAAGATTTTGTACCTAGATACCTCGTACCTAAGGTGATGCCATAAATGGTGACATTGTAAATTTTTCACTTTTAGTCCTGTATCTCTTTACTTGAGTATATGTGACAGTAAAACCTAATTCTAATTCAATGACTTGTGCATATACCAGGTCCCTCTTCCATAAACTTCAAATCTTCCTGAGATACAAGGAAAGTCACAGAGGATTGGAGAATGTTAAATGTGACACCCTTATTCACATGTTCATTTATGTGCAAATACATTCCAAAGAATACTACGTTGGTTACTTTAGCATCAGTGGCAAGAAAGGTTTTGGAGGCAATCATGAGGGTCAAAATTCAGTAGGCACTTGGTTAGATTAAAGTCATTCAAGGAGGGCCAACATGAATTTGTAAAGGGTAAATTCAAATTGATATTAATTAATCTTCTCATGGAGGAACTAAAGATTGTTGAAGAGGAAACAATGAAAGTTCTATAGAATCCCTACAGTGTGGAAACAGGCCATTTGGCCCAACAAGTCCACACCAACTCTCTGAAGAGCATCCTACCCAGACTTAACCCCCATACCTTATCTCTGTAACCCTACATTCCCCACATCTAATCCACTTACCTCCACATCCCTGGACACTGCAGGCAATTTAGCATGGCCAATCCACCTAACCTGCACATGTTTAGATTGTGGGAGGAAACCCACACAGACACGGGGAGAATATGCAAACTCCACACAGGCAGTCAAGGCTGGAATTGAATTTGGGTCCTTGGTGTTGTGAGGCAGCAGTGCTAATCACTGAGCCACTGGGCTATCCTGTACCTGTAGGGATTTTAAGGGAGTGACATTAAAGGATGGTTAACCAAACTAGTGCAGTGTCACCTTAAATTTGAACAAAAATGCCTTAAGGACAGCAAACAAGTATTGGTAAATGGTTGCATTGCAAACCTAGAGAATGGTAGAAAGTGGTGTTGCCCAAGCGGACATTGATTTTTTGATGTTGATGAATGATTTAGGTATTGGAATTCAGTGCTAAATTTAAAATGTCACCCACAATTAGCAAAGGAACACATAGCTCCTGACAAATGAGACATGAACACTATTGAAACTTTGTGTAAGTACATAAACCAGGCTCAGGAAATGGAAAGTGTAATTGGGAATGCTAAATGATGCAAACTAGCTCAAGAGCTTTTCTTTATGATATACAGTGCTAGCACTGGCTAAAAGGATGCAATCTGCTGTCAAGAGGAAGTTTAATATCTCCTCCCCCACAAAAAACCAGCAGTATTTACTTTCTAACTTTATATCAGTTCCCCTAATGAAGCACTTGTGTGGATACATGATACTGAAATAACTGTGTTGAAGTAATAGCATTTATTGTAATAAAGCTGGTAATTTAAACAAATATATTACGTATTCATTCATGGGGAGTGAGCATACTTGGCTGGGCCAGCATTTAGTACCCCGGGCAAGATGATCGATGCTATAATGTTTGGTTTTTCACTATTGTTTGGTCATCAAGCCCCCTTTTTAAAAGAAGCAAAAACAGTAAATATCCCAGCTAGCAAATAAATCAAAGAAAACAATAACTAAATTAAAATGTGAATGATCGTGATGGCAACATTTCCCAGAGGTTTGGCTGTGAACTCAAAATCAAGTTTTGTTGACTGCCTTATTAATGACTAATTACTAAAATTAATTTTTGGATTACCTTTAAGAAGGAACTGGGCTCACAGTTTATGCATATCAGTTATAATTATACCTCCTGGATTGCAAGAGAGTTTGTTATTTATTTAGTCTGCAGATGGAATAATAAGAGGGGATAGTCATAGTTAACGAGAATGGAATTTGCGAAATAAATGTAATAAACCAGGAGCACTCTAAGTAATAATACCTGCCTTTTTACACCAGTTTTATGATTTTGAAAAGATCTAGAGAATATTTTGCCATTTGTCTCATGAGTCACAGCTTTAGCCTAGAACCCTCAATATCTGATGTGAGTGGGAACACCATGATTGTTTCTCATTAAGGACTTGATTCAGAATTTCTGTCCTCTGTCAAAGAAAGGAAGTTCAACTCAGCAATCTGGATCAATGATTTGGTCATCTACTCTCTAGTCAGTTCTAAATAGATGTGGACAAAAATACACTGAAAAGGCAAAGAACAGCAATACTGATGGGTCAAGGATCAAATGCAGTACAACCTGTACTTCTGAAAGACAGAAAGTCAAGACAGAAGTTGAAAGATTAAGTAAAGGTATCAAGATAAATGCAAAGGTGAGTAAATTGATACAGAGGTAGACCATTACCCAAACAGGTTGTGCAAGAAGGTCCAGGGGCTACAATATTATTCCATCTAAGGAGCTAGAGGAACAAGGCTAACTTGGGACTTCTACCCCAGCCATTTCTTCAGAGTATTCCAGCACATCTCCAATATCTGTTATCCCACAGCGCGATCTGCCCCTCCAAGTTCACTCATTGGCCCATAAAGGAAACCCTGACCCTTACTGATTGAAGACTTCACCTGGCATTACACTGCACCAAGACCCAACTGATATGCAATGACCACCATAAGGTGTTCATAACCCACCAGTTGCATTCAGCTTTGCATTGCTAGTCTAATTGATCCCAAAATTTCAGTGTAACTACAACCTTGTAGGGTCAGCAAACATACAAATAAGAACTCAGAAAGCTTGGTTCCAAGTCCCACTTGCTCCAGAGGAGCATCATAACAACATGTTCTAAAAATAATTAAAATATCTACGAGCAAGAACAGGTGAAATCACTTAAACCTGGAGTAACAAATCACAACAAACAAGGGATCCTGACCAACTATGATTTATAAATTAAATCAGTCCACATCTCCATAGAACGGAGCTCCATGCACCCAACCAGACATTCACAAGGAAACGAATCTTGTTTAACAAGTCTTGGTTTTCTTTACGTACAGAAGTATAACAGTTCATTTGAGAAAAGGTGAAATTGGTCAAACGGAAACCCCCAAATGACTGATGTTCCCAGAGTTCCGGGCACTTCCCATTCCTCTGGAAGATCGCCCGCCTTTTCCATGGTTAATGGCCATCTTCAGAGTCCACCTTGAGTATCTTCCACATCCCCTTCCTCACACACTGCTCGTCTGGTTTGACGTTTCTCAGTGTCCCTCTTCCATTTGATCCGCCTGTTCTGAAACCAGACCTTCACCTAGAATAGAATAGTACTGGGTCAAGTCCAACTTTTCTGCCTGTTTTAAATTCTGAAATTATGGCTTGGATAAATTTGTTACAGACATTAGCCCTTCAGGCAGCATACGCCAAGATTTTGATGAATCTATTTATTATAAATGAGTGATTTCAAGTGTTTTAACTTGTTTACTTCATGGTACATTATTAGTTCATGGGATGTTGGCATCACTAAGGCCAGCATTTATTGCCCAAAATTGCTAGAAACTACTGTTCTAAAAGTTGTTATAATCTAGGGTGACACGGTGGCTCTATGGTTAGCACTGCTGCCTCACAGCCCCAGGAACCTGGGTTCAATTCTACCCTCGGGTGACTGTTTGTGTGGAGTTTGCACGTTCTTCCCGTGTCTGTGTGGGTTTCCTCTGGGTGCTCTGGTTTCCTCCCACAGTCCAAAGATGTGCAGGGTAGGTGGATTGGCCATGCTAAATTGCCCATAGTGTTCAGGGATAACAAGGTGTAGAGCTGGATGAACACAGCAGGCCAAGCAGCATGAAGGCTGACGTTTCGCTTAGGCCCGAAACATCAGCCTGCCTGCTCCTATGATGCTGCTTGGCCTGCTGTGTTCATTCAGCTCTATACCTTGTTATCTCAGATTCTCCAGCATCTGCAGTTCCTACTATCTCTGTTCAGGGAGGTGTAGATTAGGTGGGTTATAGGGGGATGGGTCTGGGTGGGATGCACTGAGGGTCAGTGTGGACTTGTTGGGCTGAAGGGCCTGTTTCCACACTGTAGGGATTCTATGAAATCTCTAATTATCCTTGCACTAACTGGCTCACTGGGCATTCTTAGGGCAGTTTAAGAGTCAATCATGTTAGACATCTGGACTCACATGTTGGCCAGACCAGGTAAGCATGGCAGATTCCCTTCCCTAAAGGACAGTAGCTTTACACTTCAGATTGATTAATTGCATTTAAGTTCCATTTGTGGCAGAGAATTAGCCTGGACCTCTGGATTACTCTCCAGTGTGTCACCATCTCCCTGACCATACAGTAAAAATGAATGAGCTGAAAAGCTGATAAAACATTAAAAATTGTAATATACTCTGGAGGTGGCTGACCACCATTCCGGTTCTCTGGTCATCGATACGAACTCGCCGCACTATCACCTGTAGTACTGTAAGGCCCAGAGCAGCAGCCAGGGCCACCCTCTGAGGACCAATGATGTAGCGGTTTTTCCTGAACTCCCTCTCCAACACTGAGAGCTGCTCTTGGGTGAAGATAGCCCTGAAGCGCTTTAACTTGATTTCTCTGGCAGGGCTGGGGTGTACCAGGGGTGCTGGACTGAACCTCCAATCTAAAAACACAAAATTACAGTGAAGTCAGCATCACGGATATGACGCTCATTCTCAGAGACATTGGAAATCAACCAGTACCTACAAATGTAAAAGCATAAGAAATAGGAGCAGGAGTAGGCCATCTGGCACCTCGAGATTGCTCTGCCATTCAATAAGATCATGGCTGATCTTTTCATGGACTCAGCTCCACTTACCCGCCTACTCACAGTAACCCTTAATTCCTTTACTGTTTGAAAATCTATCTTTGTCTTAAAAACACAACTACTTCACTGGGCAGGAAATTCCACAGATTCACAACCTTTTGGATGAAGAAGTTCCTCCTCAGCTCAGCCCTAAATCTGCTCCCCCGTATTTTGAGGCTATGCCCCCTAGTTCGAGTTTCACCTGCCAGTGGAAACAACCTCCCTGCTTTTACCTTATCTATTCCCTTCATAATTTTATATGTTTCTATAAGATCCCCTCTCATTCTTCTAAATTCCAATGAGAATAGCCCCAGTCTACTCAATCTCTCCTCATAAGCCAACCCTCTCAACTCCGGAACCAACCTAGTGAACATCCCCTGCACCTCCTTCAGTGCCAGTACATCCTTTCTCAAGTAAGGAGGCCAAAACTGTACACAGTACTTCAGGTGTGGCCTCACCAGGACCCAATACAGCTGCAGCATAACCTCCTTGTTTTAAACTCCATCCCTCTAGCAATGAAGGACAATATATTGTACAACTTTCTGCTTGCTGCCCTAAATGTTTCACATTCATGGACTATCCAGAGCTCATCTTCCTAGTTTTATTTCTAACTTTTGTTTCTACCCACCCTGTCAGTTTCTTTCATAATTTTAGACACTTCCATCAAATGTTAGCATCCTTGGGCCTAATGTAACCACATATCAGTATAAATGTCAAACATTAAACCAGGAGGAAAACTTCCTTGGCCTTGGATTGGGATGGTTTGATCATAAAAGGCCGGGAGAAGTGCTAGCTCCTGGGAAACTTACAGTACCTTTCCGATTTGGGATATGTGGGGTAAAATGGATTGGGAAGTAGAGAGTGTGACAGATAGAAGTTCAAACAGAACAAACAAGAGAAGGGAAATGGCATGAAGTACTTTAACAGAATATATACACTCTAGAAACGTTTGATTCAAGGGTAATCAAAATAAAAGATTCAACGTGGTCCCATCAGCAGAGATATTAGTAGAATACACACACTCATTCAGACAGACACACACACTCACAGACACACACAATCTGACACAGGCACACACTTGGACACATACCACCTTCACAGACACACTCTCACTCGCACTTAAAGACACAAACTCAATACTCACAGACACACATGCAGACACATACTCACACATCGACTCACTCAAAGACACACACACACTCACAGGCACACACTCAATAGTCACAGACACACACATACACACAGACATGCACACACACGCACCCACATTCACACAGACACACACTCAGACACAGAGACACACACAGACATGCACTCACAGACATGCACTCAATACTCACAGCCACACACACACAGACACATACACCGACACACACACACACACACACACACACACACACTCAGACACACACTCACAGACACACACAGACACAGGCATACACTCACTCAGATATACCTGTAGACTTGCTCACAGACACACACACACACACTGACAGACACACGCACACACACCCTCAGACACACACACAAACTAACAGACACACACATTCATACATTCTCAGACATACACACTGACACACATGCACTCACACACCCTCAGACACACAGACACGCTCACATACATCCCAAATCGGACAGGTACTCTAAGCCCTTACCTGCACGGTACATGTTGAAGCAGTTGTGCCAGGGTGGACGGTAGTACCCTGGAGCCTGGCAGAGGACAGGGCAGGAGGCGGGCAGTGGGACACAGGGGTAGGGCTGGAGGGTCTGCTCAGTGCGGGGAGCTCTCTCGGGGGGAGACTTGGAGAGCAGGAACTCCACCGTGAAGGCTCGTTTCCTGGCTGGAGGCGCCTCTGGGGCTTTGGTGCACGGAGCCGGATAAAAGGCACAGCAATCCGGGAGGAAAGCCGGGGAAAGGGCTCGCTCCATAGAGATCGGCTGCATTGCTGGCTCTTGGAGGTGGGGGATATAGCAGGCAGGAGGCGGCTCTGATGTGAATCTGTGTGTTTGGGACATTCTTATACAGTCTCCCCACCCCCAACCCCTCCCCTCACCCTGGGACATGCAAAGTGTCCCGAAGGGCTTTTGTTTTAAGAAGTGGTGGGTGAGAATCATTGAGGATACTGTGAGAGGATTAATTGGATAAAGTGTTGTGGGTAATTGCTGGAGGCAGATAGTTTTTTTTTAAAGCGATAGATTTACTGCTGCAGATCCTGCACTAAACGAGAAAAATTTGTAGTTCAACCCTGGGGGTGTTGGAACGAAGAAGAGAAATGACCAGATTCAAGGGGAGTGATATGTTCAGAGAGAGATTTAATGGAGATGGTGGAAAGTTGGATAAGGCCGGAAGGGTCCGGACTGAAAAGGAAAGAGCAGACTGGGAGTGATACGCAACTCGGATCTTTAAATCGGAGGAAGATTTAACGATAATTTTAGTATCATAGAGCTGTACAGCATGGAAACAGACCCTTCGGTCCAGCTCGTCCATGCCGACCACATATCCTATATTAATCTCGTTCCATTTGCCAGCATTTGGCCCACATCCCTTTAAATACTTATATTCATATACCCATGCAGCTGCCTTTTGAATGTTGTAATTGTACCAGCCTCCACCACTTCCTCTGGCAGCTCATTCCATACACTGCATGAAAATGTTGCCCTTTAACTTCTTCCCCTCTCACTTTAAACCTGTGCCCTATAGTTTTGGAATCCCCTACCCTGGGGAAAAGACCTTGACTATTTACCCTATCCAGGCCCCTCATGATTTTATAAACCTCTATAAGGTTTAGCCTCAGCTTCCGACACTCCGGGAAAAATAGCCCCAGTCTATTCAGCCTCTCCCTATAGCTCAAACCCTCCAACCCTGGCAACACCCTTGTAAATCTTTTCTGAGTCCTTTCGAGTTTCACAACATACTTCCTATAGAAGGGAGACCAGAATTGCAAGCAGTATTCCAAAAGTGGCCTAACCAATATCCTGTACAGCCACAACATGATCTCCCAACTCCTATAACTTTCAAAAAGAAATTGGAATGATTCTTGGAACAGAACGTTGATTTGCAGGGATCTGAGGTAATTGAATGGTTCTTTCAAAGAGCTGGCACAGCCACAATGGCCCAAAATGCCTCCGGTGTGGTATGATCCCATGATTTCAGATTGTGCATTGTCTTCAGGTACCTTTGCTGTATAAACTTGATAAACGATGATCGTGTCCCTTATCTCCACAGGTGATGTCTACACACTGTGCCTTTCACTTGATGCTGGTGCCAGCACAGTTACAGGTTCCTGCCTGAGGATAGAGATGGGTGCTGGGGAAATCCCAGAGTTCCCATGAACAGGGATGTGTACTCTGAGTCAGAAAGGCCAAGGGAAACATCTTTCTGAGGATCTCCCACAGAACCATATTTGGATGGTGTTGTACAAACTGGAGAGGAAGATGCGGCAGAGGTGTTGGCACACTACATAATACAAACAGCCCATTGAAAACACAGTCCAAACTATTGATCGCCAACTCAAATGTTGTCTCCTCACAACCTCAGCTGTTTAAAGCTCCATCAAATGTGCTGGGAAAGCGCACTTCTCCAGGTTCCTTAAGACTCATTTCCGAAATGGATTGCCTTCAGTAGATTCCACAGGTATCAACAGTCTCCTGAATTCACAGCCGATTGAGATCCCAGCCCCTTGAGGGACAAGAGGCTGATTAACTGTGAGTGGGTATCACGGTGAAACCTGACTGGAACCTGGCCTGATGGTCATGTGTGCAGCATCCTGTAGGGCACAGTGTGATAGCAACCAGGGGCAAGAACCTCAGCTGATTTATCTGCACCTTCTGTGGACACAGTGACCAATTGATGGTGGCTCAGCGGTTGGCACTGCTGCCTCACAGGGTCAGGGTCCCAAGTTCGATTGCAGCCTTGGATGACTGTCTGTGTAGAGTTTGCATGTTCTCCCCATTCTGCATGGGTTTCCTCCCACAGTCCAAAGATGTGAAGGTTAGGTGGATTGATCATGTTATAGTATCCAGGGAAGTGCAGGCTAGGTGGGTCAGCATGGGAAATGTGGGACTGTGGGGATAGGTTGGG